AATAATATCTATTAAGTCAAAGAGACATATGTTAATCTGGACAGGAAAGATCTCAAAAGAATTAAAGTGAATTAAGCTGATCGCATGGTAAATAAATATGCAATTTTGCATCTCAGAGATCAATTACCTATTTTGACATGAAAATAAAAAAGAAAGACGAAAATGAAAGGTAAAATTAAAAAAGTACAATTAAATAATTATTTAATATTGAATTGATATGCCCATAGTCTAGACCAGCTGAGACTAGGGTATAGCACGGGGTAAAGACCATGTTAAGGGTATCTTCTGTCTTTCTTGCTCTCTTTCTCTCTCTCTGGGAAGATATACTTTTTAACATTGTAGTTGTTACTGCAAACCATCCTCTTTCTTCATTGCACATAAAAAAAAAGAAAAAAGATTATTTTGAGAAAGTGGCCAGTAACTGCTAATGTTAAACACTAAATTTGCTGGGAACAGCAGATGGCCTAATGGTTACATTGCTGGACTCCCACATAGCTAACCACAGTTTGAGTCCCGGACCCAGAGGCTTGAATCTCACGCTGGGTATGTGTGCGGGCAAGCCCAAGATCCTGAGAGGAGAATGGAGAAATGATTACAGCATGGCCATCTCCTCTAGGGGTTGATTTCTTGGTTTCTGCCTCTTCAGCAAGCACACACGCCCTACAGCAAAAATCTCTCTTAAAAAAAAAAAAATGACTGAATTTGAATTTGTTAGTTGACAACCAACCCTGAATGGGTATTATGACACAGGATAGAGGACAGAAAATTATCTCAATTGACCCCAATGTTTCAAACTTGAATAGTCACCTAAAAGGGATTATTACTAGATGGCAGAGTTCAACGAAGCAGATGATGGCATTCAAGACTCTTTGAAGACAGTGAGAGAATTCTGGGAAGTCATCAGGTACAAATTACTACAGAAATTATGATAAAGTCTCTAAGATTAAGAAAAATGTATATCAAAACAATCTTTGAAAGGAAAATTAACAGAAAAGAATGTACATTATCAAGAAACTAAAGTCTAATTAGAACACTAAGAACTAAAATGTGGTAAATGAAAAAGAAGTCTAGAAAGAAAATGAGAACCAATTAGAAGCAATGTGAAGGCAGTAGAGAATAAAGACAGAAGAGGCGGGCCGGACGCCAAGGCTGCGTCCGGTCACGGGACGTCCCGGGCCCTTCCGGGCTCGGCGAGTCCCCCCTGGGGCCCTGCTAAGCCGGCAGCAGCTGCCGCCGCACGCGCCAACCCCCCCTCCCCCAGAGGCCATGCCAGCTGAAGAGCAGGATAAAGAACTTGCAACTATAAGCAACAGAAAGAACCTTTAACTGCCTTAAACCAACTGAGAAATACACCGTAGAGAAGGATTTTATCTACCTATGGACAGTGAGAAGATGATGGATACCAGCCCTGCATTACCTCAGGCAAGAACAGGAACT